AAAAGATGTGGTGATTTCTTTGATGATCCAGAAAAGTACAGGAGACTAGTGGGAAAACTAAATTATCTCACAGTGACTCGTCCAGATATAGCTTATGCTGTCAGTGTTGTTAGCCAATTTATGTCTGCGCCTACAGTAAAACATTGGACAGCATTGGAACAGATCTTGTGTTACCTGAAAAGAGCTCCTGGCCTTGGTATAGTGTATAACAATCACGGACATTTTTGCATTAAAGGCTTTGCAGATGCTGATTGGGCTGGATCTAAAATTGATAGACGGTCTACTACAGGGTATTGCATCTTCGTTGGTGGAAACCTTGTGTCCTGGAGTAAGAAGCAGAATGTTGTATCTCGGTCCAGTGCATAATCGGAGTACAGAGCCATGGCCCAGACTACATGTGAAATTTTGTGGATACAACATTTTCTAGCTGAGGTTGGATTGAAGCCTTCGGTACCAGCAAAACTCTGGTGTGACAACCAAGCTGCCCTTCATATCGCCTCAAATCCGGTATACCATGAAAGGACTAAACACATTGAGGTCGACTGTCATTTCATTCGTGAGAAAATCTAAGAAAATATAATCTCTACTGGTTATGTAAAGACTGGAGAGCAACTTGGGGATATCTTCACAAAGGCGTTAAATGGGACTAGGGTTGAGTATCTTTGTAACAAGCTAGGCATGATTAATATCTATGCTCCAACTTGATGGGGAGTGTTACAGAATAATAGGCTAACATGACGAGCTAATTAGTCTCTAATTAGGCCTAATTACAGTAGCCTAATTAGTCTCTAATTAGCCTAATTTCAGTAGCTAAATTAACGTAATTAACTAGAGAAATTAGCATACCTTAGAGAGATCGTACATGTATATATATATATAGTGTGATTTCCAATGAATAAGAATATAGAAAAATTCCCAGTTCTCTATTCGATTACAATATCCCTTAAAATTCCCATAAAAACTAGATGCGAATATTATACCTGCATGTTTACCTTTAGAAGTGTCTATACCCTCTGAAAAGGTGCTGAACATAGATAATATAGTTAAGGAGGCAATGATAAGATGGTAGGTCTTTAGAGATGGAACTTCATGTATTAGATATGCGTGATTTCAATGTAACTCTTGAGATGGATTTATTATTTAAAATTCATTGTTTCAGGAAAGAGGTAGTCTTCCAAAAACCTATCAATAACTAAGAAGAGTAGGTCACTACCTGATGTTGTATCTCCATTACAAGCAAGATGGATTCTACAATCAAGGGATAGGGTAGGTTTTCTTATGTCAGGAATCGACAAAGAATGAGATAAGAAGTTGACAATCAGTGAAGTCAGAGTGGTACGAGAATACCAGAAGTTTTCTCGGATGATTTACCCGGCATGCCACCGAAACAAAAGAAGGGTTCACGATCGATCTCACCCCCAAGGCCGCACCTATTTCTAAGGCCCCTTACAGAATGGCACCAAAAGAGCTACAAAAACTCAAGGCACAGATAGAAGAATCGCTAGAGAAGGTATTCATCCAACCTAGTGCATCACCATGGGGAGCTCTAGCACTTTTTTGTCAAAAAGAAAGATGGATCGATGAGGATGTGCATCGATTATTGAGAACTGAACAAGATTACTATTAAGAAGAAAGTATCCTCTTTCGAAAATTGAGGACTTGTTTGACCAACTTCGAGGTACAGTAGTATTTTCCAAGATTGATTTACGATCAGGATACCACCAACTAAGAATCAAGACGGGTGATATCTCGAATACAGCTTTTAGGACTAGATATAGTCACTACGAGTTTTTAGTTATGCCATTTGGGTTGACAAATGCTCACAGAGTCTTCATGGACTTAATGAATCGTGTTTTTTATGATTTTCGTATTTATTGATGATATCCTAATTCATTCAATTGGCGAAGGAGAGGGTGAGGAACAATTAAGTATTGTGCTGAAAATCTAGAAGGAAAAATTGTACACAAGATTTAAGAAATGTGAATTTTAATTGGAAAGAGTATTCCTCCGGCATGTCATTACAGCTCGAAGAATAGAATTGATCCAAGCAAAGTGAAGACAATTCTAAATTGGACGAAGCCAACTAGTATCGAGGAAATTCGCAATTTTCTGGGCTTAGCCGGATATTATAGGAGGTTCATCAAAGGGATTTCAAAGATATTTGGACTATTAACACAGTTAACTAGTAAGGGTGCAAAATTTGACTGGATCGAAAAGAGCAAGCGTGGTTTTGAAGAGTTAAAGTAGAGATTGGTGAACACTCTGGTGTTAACCATACCAGAAGGGACAAAATTTTGTAGGTTATAGTGATGCGTCTAAGTACGGTCTATGATGTGTCTTAATGCAGCAAGGTAAGGTGATTGCCTAAGCAATAAGAAAATTAAAGCCGTATGAGTAGAATTACCCTACTCACGACTTTGAGCTTGCTGCAGTCGTTCATGCCCCAAAAATTTTGAGACACTACCGATACAGTGGCAAGTGCGACATTGATACAAGCCATACGAGTCTCAAGTACATTTTCACTCAGAAAAAATTGAACATTAGACAAGGGAGATGGCTTGAGTTAGTGAAAGACTATTACTGTGAAAACCATTATCACCTAAGAAAGAGGATTGCTGTAACAGATGCCTTAAGCAGGAGGAAGATAATGGGTCAATTGGCGATGTTGACCACATAAACACCTTTATGGAAGGAGTTCGAGAGATTTAAGTCTTAAGATTGTCACAGCTCCGCCTAATGCTACGGCTCGAACGACGGCATTATTGGTCCGACTAACACTTCTTGACAGAATTAAGAGTCAACAGAAGGGCAACAGTCCTTAGAGTTTATTAAAGTAGAGATAGAGGCAAGAAAATGGAAGGACTTCATCACAGCTGACGATAAGGCAATGTACCATCATAGACGACTATATGTACTAGATTTCGAGGTATTGAGAAACGAAATATTAGAGGCAAGAAAACGGAAGGACTTCATCACAGCTAACGATAAGGTAATGTACCATCATAGACGACTATATGTACCAGATTTCAAGGTATTGAGAAAAAAAAGATTAGAGGGGGCTCACTTTGCTCCATATTCAGTGCATCCAGGAAGTACCAAAATACACCGGGATCTAAAAGCGGTATTTTCGTGGAGAGGAATGAAGGACAGCCATGTATGTTGATAGGTGTTTGATATGCCAACAAGTGAAGGTACGAACACCACCAACCATCAGGATTACTACAACCATTAGATGTTCCAGAATGAAAATGAGAACATATGACAATAGACTTTGTTGTAGGTTTGCTGAAATCAGTAAAAGGTCAGGAGACTATTTGGGTTATCATTGACCAATTAACAAAGTCTGCTCATTTCTTACCGGTCCACATGACCTTTTCTATGGAGCAATTTGTACAATTGTATTTTAAGGAAATGGTAAAGTTGCACGGTGTACTAGTTTCAATTGTATCGGACAGAGACTCAAGGTTCACATTGAACTTTTGGAAGAGTTTACATCGGGCTATGGGAACTAAATTGAACTATAGTACAGTTTTTCACCCTCAAACAGATTTCAGTCTAAGCGGATGATTCAAACATTAGAGGATATGCTTCAATTGTGTGCTTTAGAGCTTGGTGGACATTGGGAGAAGCATCTACCTCAAATTGAGTTTGCTTATAACAGTTATCACACATCTATCAACATGGTACCTTATCAAGCATTGTATAGGAGGAAATGCAAATCACCACTTTATTGGGATGAGGTTAGCGAGCGTAAGATTTTGGGTCCAGAGATTATTAAAGAGACTGTAAAAGTTATCGAGAAGATTCGTAACAGTATTTAAGTGGCTCAAGATATACTGAAAAGCTATGTAGATAAGAGGAAAAGGGCTCGAAATTTCTTGAAGGCGATAGTATCCTCAAAATGATGCCTATGAAAGGAGTATTACGTTTTGGTAAGGGAAAGTTGCAACCAAATTTCATTGGCCCATTCAAAATCTTGAACTACGTTGGAGGTGTACCATATCAGCTGGCCCTACCCCCTAAACACTTAGCAGTACATGATGTATTTCACATGTCCGTGCTTGAGAAGTGCGTCGTTACAACACAATTTGAGATATGAAGAAGTACCAATCGAAATTATCGATCAGAAATTTCAAGCACTTAGAAACAAGGTGATTATTTTAGTAAAAGTGTGATGGCGTAATCACTCAATTGAAAAAGTTACTTGGAAGCGAGAAGTGGAAATGCGAGACAAGTTCCCACAACTCTTCGAAGAATTCCAAGTTAAATTTCAAAGACTAGTAATTTATTTTAAGGAGATAGATTGTAACATTTCGAATTTTTACTACTAGCAGTTATATTTAAATTTATGACTTAAGTGCACTATTATTAAAGTTTAATGATCTTATTGGTTATTGAACAATAGTTTGAGGACTTAAGTGGAAAGTTATTTTGGAAGTCAGATTAAAAATCATGTGTAAAACTCTTTTAATGAGAGAGTATATTGTAGAAATAATTCTCATTATCCATCTCATAGGTACATAGCAGTATTTATATTTACAGTAGAACAAAAAAAGGAAAGAATGAATAAAGAAAGAAAGAAATATTAAATGCTAATTTTAAGGAAACTAAATATCCTAGAATATGGCAGATTTGGAAGCTTTCCAATGCTCTCCCTCAAGCTGGTTTAAAGATATCTTCCATGGCCAGCTTGCTAATTAAGTTTTCAAACTGTTTCTTTGGCAGACCCTTTATAAGTATATCTGCTACTTGCTTGACTGTAGAAATATAGGGCATACAAATTACCCCACTCTATTTTCTCCTTGATAAAGTGCTTATCCACCTCCACATGTTTTGTTCTATCATGATTAGCTGGATTGTGAGCAATAGTTATTGCTGCCTTATTATCACAATATAATTTCATTGGTAATGAATTAGTAACTTTCAACTCTTCTAGTAATCTTTTAATCCATAGTGCTTCACAAATTCCATGAACAATAGCCTCGAACTCAGCCTCTGCACTACTCTCTTGCCACCACACTTTGTTTCTTGCAGCGCCATGTTACTAAATTTCCTTCAACAAATGTACAGTAACCAGAAGTTGATCTTCTATCAATGACACTTCCAGCCCAATCTGCATCAGTGTATATTTCAACTTGTAAATTTCCATATCCTCCAAATAAAAGGCCTTTACCTGGTGTCCCCTTTAGGTACCTTAAAAATTTGTAAACGGCTTCAAAATGTTCAGGTCCTGATGAGTGCATAAACTGGCATACCACACTTGTTGCAAAGGCTATGTTAGGCCATGTATGAGAGAGAGATAGGAGTTTCCCTACCAATCTTTGGTATTGTTCTCTGTTGATTACTTCTTCAGGGTTAGCGGGTTGGAGTATTAGATTCGGCTCTATGGGTGTCTCTGCAGCTTTACACCTTAATAAACCTATTTCTCCAAGTAAATCAAGAATATATTTTCGCTGAGAAACAAATATACCTTTATTTGACCTTGCAAACTCCATTCCAAGAAAGTACTTCAAGTTACCTAAGTCTTTGATCTTAAACTCCTTAGCAAGAATCTTCTTTAATCTCTCGATTTCATTGCTATCATCTCCTGTCAAAATAATATCATCAACATAAACAATAAGTATAGCTACTTTGTCTCCGTCAGTGTGTCTATAGAACATAGTGTGGTCAGCTTGGCCTTGATTGTAGCCGTGACTCTTTATCACCCTTCCAAAGCGTTCAAACCAAGCTCTTGAAGATTGCTTGAGTCCATACAAGGACTTCCTCAATCCGCAAACCTTCCCTTTGCCTCCTCTGTTTTTAAATCCCGGTGGTAGATCCATAAAAACTTCCTCCTCTAGATCTCCATGGATCAGAATTTTCAATCAAATTCGTAACTTTAAATAATTAAATCAATTTCAAGGACACAAGCCCAATTGATACAAGTACCACCGTTATTCAATTTAACTGGCAGAGACAATTAAACACGGTCCAATGAGCCAAAGCCTAAAGAATTAATACACTAACTACAATGGCCCAAAAAGCAACAAATATTAAATCCAACAAGTCCAAGTCCAAAATCACAATCCAATTAAAAAAATAATTCGGCCCAAATAGATAACACAAGGCCACTGTAGAACTCACAGACACACGAAGGAGAAATTCACGATGAAAAGATGTAACTCCCAGCGACGGCTAAGAAGGAACTCCAGGCGACGAGAGAAGACTTCTCCAACCAAAACCCAAGGCTAGACGGCGGAAATTTGGGACCCAAGCACGGGTGATGGCGAACCTTCAGATGGCGCCGAAAGCGAAAAACTGCGACGGTGACTACGGAGATACCAATTGCACTGAACTAAGAGGTGACTACACGACACCGTCGGGAACTCGGGGCCTAATTGCAGGTGGTGCTGGAAACGTGAGCGCCCTCTACTAACTACGAGGAACACAGAATGAAGCACGCTCAAGTAAGTCAGTTTTGTGGTTCTGATGCCATCTTTTAATGAGAGAGTATATTGTAAAAATAATTCTCATTATCCACATAGGTTCATAGCAGTATTTATATTTACAGTAGAACAAAAAAAAGGAAAGAATGAATAAAGTAAGAAAGAAATATTAAATGCTAATTTTAAGGAAACTAAATCTCCTAGAATATGGCAGATTTGGAAGCTTTCCAACAAAAACATATGTAAATATGCCAATTAGTCTTGATTAAATATAATTTATTCACCACAAGCATTATTAACACCACATTTCAAGCTAATGTAATTGATTTGACCACATAAATCGAGGAATTGATTTGAACATATGCATTATTTACACCAAGTTTTAAGCCAAGTGAATTGATTTGACCACATAATTGAAGGTATTGATTGGATCATTTTTATGACAACATGTCATTTATGCATTGACCATGCCTAACATCTAGTTATTTCCTCTCACTTTTCTACACGTGGTCAAGAATTTACACTACGGCCCTGTTTGAGCCACGTTCTTTCAAAAAAAATACATTTTTAAATAGTAATTTGATATCATTTTAACTACATTTTTCTTCAATAAAATAATATTACATGCAAATCCAAAAATTTTCCTTATTTTATCCACACATTTCTCATCAATACACTACTCAAGAATGCATTCTTATGAAAATAATATGGCTCAAACAAGGACTCTAAATAGGAGACAAACCCAACACTGAGCTTTCCTCAACTTATTTATACTCTCCCTCTCTACCTCTATAACTTTGTCTCCACCTCTCTTTCTCTAGTCATTTTAAATATAGTCGCACACTTATAAAATCACACATGAATAATCAACCTTACAAGCGGCTCAAGGATTTCTTTCCAACAATAACTCTTTTTATCATTTTGAATTGTCCAGCAAAAAGTAAAGTTGTGCTTTATGTTTATGGTGGCTAATGTTTATGTATGTAATACTTCTACGACTATGTTATGTTTTGATCCATGTTACGTATATTTTATTAAGAATGGACCGGAGTTTAGTAGAGCTACGCGAGAGAATTTAGCGCCATATAAGTTCAGTCTAATTTTCGTGTCTCCTTATACAAGTCATAAATTTTTCGTTGAGATACATATATGAATTCATTATCCACGCATGCTTACTGAAAATTATTCTGACCCATTATATCCCCACTTTCAGATAATTGACGATTCGAGAGAGTCGGCACGGAAATGGCTTATGGCGACAAAAGTTTGATAATAAAATCATTACGTTGTCAAGCTATTATTATTTCATTTGATTTTGAATATTTTAAGATTTTCCCGTTTCAAGTTAATTTATTTTATTCATTACATTATTTGAATTTTGGCAAGTGATTTAATAATTTATATAATTGTGTTGAATATTCTTTAAATTAGTCTTAGTTTATGACTTAGTGACACTCGAATCCTCTAGGTTTCAAGTCGTTGCATCAACTATGGAAAAAGGAAAAGAAGAAAAAAGCAAAACAAAAAGATGAGTGGGTTGCAATGAGAAAATAACTGGCTGGTGAAACCTAATGGCTTTGGTAATTCATATGCATGTTGTGGAACGGGGAGAAGAAATAGAACTATTTTATTCTCAATTCATTGATTATTCATTACAACCCTATACATCAATATATAGTGTAATACAATGATAAGAAAGGAAAGAAATATTCTAACTTAAGAAGGAAAAGATATTTCCTAAATTAACTCTAATTTTACCATATACAAAATATTACAATCAATCCCTAATTGATCAATTCAGGATTTCTACACTTCCCCTTAAGTTGGATCATAGATATTGATCATATCCAACTTCCAGATGAAATCATTGAATACTTGTCTTTGTAGCTCTTTAGTGAATACATCCGCAGTCTGTTCTTTGGTAGAAACGTAGATCATGCACATAGTTCCATCTTCAACCTTCTCCTTAATAAAAGTGCATGTCCACTTCTACATGTTTGGTTTTGTCATGTTGAACTGGATTAAGTGAGATACTGATAGCTGCTTTGTTATCACAAAAGAGTTTAATTGGAAATTTCGTTGGGATTTGTAGTTCATCCAAGAGTTTCTTCAACCATAAGCCTTCACATATTCCTTGAGCAGCTGCTCTGAACTCTGCTTCCGCACTGCCCCTGGCAACTACATTTTGTTTTTTACTCCTCCAGGTTACTATGTTTCCCCATACAAAAGTACAATAGCCAGTGGTTGATCTCCTATCTTCTATTGCTCCTGCTCAGTCAGAATCGGTAAATATTTCTTTCTTTTCTCATCTTTTTTGAACAGTAGTCCTTTCTCATGGGAGCCTTTGAGATATCTCAAAATCCAGTATGCTGCTTCTAGATGAGTTTCCCTTGGAGCATGCATGTGTTGACTTACCATACTTACAGCAAATGTAATGTTGGGTCTAGTGTGGGAGAGGTAGATTAGCTTCCCAACTAGCTATTGATATGTGTCCTCAACAAAATTTTCGATGTTCTCTGTTTTCCATCCAGTATCTATAGAAGTATCGCTTAGTTTGCATCCAAGCATATCGGTTTCAGTTAGGAGGTCCAGAACATATTTTCGTTGCGAAACATTAATCCCCATCTTTGATCTGGCTACTTCCATTCCTGAGAAATATCGCATTTGTCCCAGATTTTTTACTTCAAACTCTTTGGCTAATCCTCCTTTTAGCCTTTCTAAATCGACTGTATTATCTCCAGTGAGGATTATGTCATCAACATATACGATCAAAATAGTCTTTGTCCCATCTTCAAATACTCTGAAAAACATAGTATAATCTGATTGCCCTTGTTGGTATTCCCTTTTTTTTAACACTTTCGCAAACCTGTCAAACCATGCATTGGGTGACTGTTTGAGGCCAAATAGAGATTTTTTCAATTTGCAAACTTTATGTCCTTCATTTTCCCCAGAAAATCCAGGTGGTAGCATCATGAAGACTTTTTATTCCAGCTCCCCATTCAGAAATGCATTCTTAATATCAAGTTGTTAGGGTGGCCAATCCAAATTGGCTGCTAAGGATAGAACTCGGATTGTATTCAGCTTTGCAACTAGTGCAAATGTTTCTATGTAATCTATGCTATATGCTTGAGTATATCCCTTTGCAATTAGACGAGCCTTGCACCTTTCTATTGTTCCGTCTACTTTATATTTTACATTAAATACCCATTTGCACCCAATCAGTCTCTTTCCCTTTGGCAGTTTCATCACATCCCAAGTTTCATTTATTCCAATGACTTCATTTCACCCATTACTGCTTTTCTCCACTTGGGAATTTTTAGAGCTTCTTAAATGTTTCTTGGAATTTCTGTACTATCAAGGTTAGAAACAAAGGTTCGATATTTTGAAGATAAAACATTATAAGTAACAAATTTTGAAATAAGGTCAAGAATGCATAATCGAGTTTCTTGAGAGCAATAGGTAGATCAGTGTCAAAAGATTCTTGAGAAAGCTCATGAAGATTTGGAGCTATCATCGTTTCCGACTCTTGTAGTGCTTCGAGTGTGAGTTTCTCATTATCCTTTGATTTTGGCTTTCTTGAATAAATAATTATCTCTGTCATGTTGTTTTATCTGTTCTCCCCTCGAGGTTATCTTCTATAGATGGCATGTTGGGCCGAGATGGTGTTGTAAGTTCAGTATTTTGGATAGATTCAGTGTTTTGGATAGTGTTGAAAGGATCAAGAGATATTTCAAAAAATCGATCTTCATCTTTACTTATATTCTCCCCCTAAAGCGAGGATTTTTGGAAATAGGAGTTGTTTTCAAAGAAGGTGATATCAAGGCTGACAAATACTCTTTTTGTAATTGGATCATAGCATTTATACCTTGGTAGCCTTGATTTCTGGTATTTAGTCTTGGTTTCCATGCAAATCATAGCACATATCTTCCTTATGTCCAAGTTTTCGACAATGGTCACACCACGGACGACCTGTTTGTTGTATTAGGTATGATCCAAATTTTTTTGTTCCCCTATGTATTTGGGCTCCTGAATCAGGCCCAACAAATTTAGGCCCATCATGTACAAATTTTTTAATTTTGGCAATTGCTCCTTTCGGCCCAATCTCATTTGACCCATTAGGCCCAATAGCTTTAGATGAAAGGGCCGACTCATTAACACTGTCTTCAAGTCCAAATTCTTCTTCAACATGATTGATCGTTGACTCTCTTCGCGCCTCACTTAAGCAAACGCATCGCAGGTGGACGGCAGTGGTCGGCAACTGAGGATCCGACCCCTCACATCGTCCAGTTCCCTGTTAACCCAGCCAAGAATTCATACACAAGTTCGTTTTCCACCCTTTTCTTATTTCAAACATTGTCACTCACACAATCCCACTATTCATCGGTGCTAAGGTCCAATTCTTGCCATCAACTGGTCATCTCCATATAGTATTCAGTGACTTCCCTTTTTCCTTGCTTCGCCTTCCATAATTTCGTTTTAATTTCTAAAATTGTGGACGAATCCTCTGCGTTGGAGTACATATCTCGAGCCGCATCCCATACGTCCTTCGTCGTTGCCATGAAGAGACAAATTTTATGAATGGATGGCTGTATAGAGTTGATGAGCTACGACATTACCATGGAATTTTCAGATTTCCATTTTTGTTGAATTGTCGGATCTATGGGCTGCTTAGCATCACCGATAAGATATCCAATTTTTCTTTTCCCGTCGACCGCCAACTTAATTATTTGAGCCCACTCTCTGTAATTCCTACCATTGAGCTTTTCAACCGTGAGTTGAAGAGAGGAATTATCAACTACGATTGAGTTCATGTTATGGATGCATTCGGTTTTACTAACACCGGATTCAAAGGAGGCTGAGTTTTTACTGTTAGTAGTATTTTCTGCCATTGATAGCCGGGTTTGAAGTCATACCCAAGCTCTGATACCATGTAGAGTGGGGAGAAGAAATAGAACTATTTTATTCTCAATTCATTGATTATTTATTACAACCCCATACATCAATATATAGTGTAATACAATGAAAAGAAAGGAAAGAAATATTCTAACTTAAGAAGGAAAAGATATTTCCTATATTAACTCTAATTATACCATATTGCAAAATATTACAATCAATCCCTAACTGATCAATTCGGGATTTCTACACATGTACGGTAGTAGCTTCATCGGGTACAACTCTAATTCTATTTATTTCTGTTATGTTCACAACAAAATTTATTGAAAATAAGCTGCAGATGTTGTCCTCACTTTTGTGCTTGTTATCTCCATTGGAGTCGTTAGCTTTAGCCTTCCTCTCCGAACATTCATTAATGCCTATAATAGCCTCTAAACCATCTCTCCTTACACATTCAGAAACTCCATGTGAAGGAATAGGAACTTCCTAAATACAGGCCAGAATTTATATAGAAATAGCAGATCTTAATTGAAAATTAAATTTATAAAAGCACATTGACATGATTTAGCAACGACTTGGACAAGATCTTCTAACCGAACTGTAAGTGTTCCTATGATACTATCATTTGCAACTCGGTTCCCTTTTTTAATCATCCTTGTGTTCTTCAGCACAATAGCTAGATCAAACATAAATAAATTAAATAAAAAGCTATGAAGACAATAATCATCATCATTGAGCCTAGTGAGCAGTACTATGCTATAAATTTGAAAGGTACTTAATCTACACTACACCTTGTCTAATGTACATAAATAAGGAATTGCCTTAACCTTTGTTCTTAATAGAATAAGATTAACATAATCCAAAACTCGAAATCTTGACTTTTAATTCAATCAGCAAAAACTGATAAATGAGTTAACTGCGTGCTAAAGAATCAAAGATTACATGGCAAAATTGAACTATAAATCATCACAAAACAGGCAAAAGCACCATCAGTTCCCAACATAACCGAAACCAATAAAGGATGAAGGTAATAAACAAATCCCAAAAGGGATTTTTAAAAATTTTAAGAGTTCCATAATCGACGTAGGCATTGTAAAAATTCCAATATATACAGAGCCATCCTTTACAGTGTGAAAATTGGGGTATTAAAAATGAATAGTGATCATGTGTGTATATATATATATATTAGGGAAAGTTGACACCTGCAGAGGTTTTCCAAAGAAATCTTAACGGAAACATATCTGACCGTGAAAAAATGATTACTTGGAACAGATATCCAAAGAACCAACAAATCACAAAATAGTTGGTGAATCAAAACAAAAGTCAGTTTAAAAAACCTCCTATTCATTTAAATTTTCATGGATAGTTTTGTGCCATGTTAAGCATTAGAGGAAGAAGATGCAAATTTATCTACAATATCAAAGCTCTATAACCTTCGAAGTTTGGCAGGTGTAGGGAAAATTAATAATGACTTAAAGAAGTATCAGGTGATCAGCAATAAGAAAATTTTGAAAATGATTGTATAGTGGAATAAACAGCACTATAATGAAGATTACAACAACAGCACAAACAGAAAAAAATAATAATAATAACAGTTTAATCCAATAGAGAAGCTGATTACAAGCAGCGAACCAAGAACTAAGAATTGACAATAATTGGATCGAGAATTGAGATCACGCCATTGAAAAGCGTAAAGAAGCGGAGCATATAAAATAGATTAATCTACAAATACAAAATAGTTTCAAGGAAACAAGGATTATTGCTGGTTGCTTTAATGCTCTGTTACGAGGTAGTGACATGTCCAAAAAGAATCATAACACATTTGGAAATGCAGAATACACTTTATAAGATGACAACTAAATGAGAGAGCTTAAGAAAGAGAAACAACCACCTATGATATACCTGTTCAAAATTTTTGAAGTGCAAATAGTCGAGTTGAAACAGTTCCCAGTGAGTAAAAAGCAACCTAGATTAAAAGTGACCAGAGCAGTTTACACATTGAAACAAAGAAATAGATAGCATAAGTAAAATTTGGTAGTGGGGAAATCATTTTGTAGTTCAAGTATTTTACTTTGGAAGAAAATTCTAAATTTCAAGACTTGTACATCAGTCAAGCAAAAAGGAATGCGGAGGAAATAGATAAATGGAGAAAGGACGAACTACAGGATGTTTTTCTGAAAAAAGGCTTAAGGTGTGATTTAACATACAAAAAAGAGAGAGAGAAAAATTTAAAAAAAAAAAGGAAGTTACCTTATCTTCCTTCTCTGTGCTCAAGTTACCAGTAATCTCTGCAGGAACAGTCACCATCTTTGAAATGATGGAAGCGGTATGCATCCCTTACAACAATAGTTCGAGTAAAAATTTTAGATACAAACTTAATCCAATTGTGGCAATCCTTACAGACACGCAGATTCTTCATCACTCGCAAAGGAATTATGTTGGGCAAGGTCAGAAGTCCAAATGCTATAGCTAACTTCTCACTGTGAACATGCGCAGTTGGGTCCTTCTGCCCTAGCTCTAAGTCATTCCAAAGGCTAGAAGAGTCTTGTACATAACCGATCGCCACTGCCTGCTTGGTCAGATCCTCTAAAAACTCGTATATCTGATCTGCTAGAGGATGAAGATGATCGCCAACAAAAAATGCATGAATTGAATTCTTTACTTCAATCCAGCTACGACCAGGCTCTTTCTTCACTCCTCTATATTTCATGAGCTGCCTTGTACAATCCCGACCACCCCATTTACCAGCATTAGCATACATGTTTGACAAAAGAACATATGTAGCCGAGTCTTTAGGTTCTAGTTTTAAAAGATTTTTGGCTGCGAATTCCCCTATTTCCATGTTCTTGTGAACTGTGCAAGCACTTAAGAGGGTCCTCCAGACCATTGCATCTGGGTCAGTTGGCATAGAATCCACAAATTCTCTTGCACGACGCACTTGACCAGCCCGTCCAAGAATATCAACAACACAAGCATAATGTTCTGGTTTTGGTACTAAGCCATGCTCTTCTTTCATAGACTTGAAGTAGGTAAACCCCTCCTCCACCAATCCCACATGGCTACAGGCTGTCAAAACCCCTACATAGGTTATATGGGTTGGCATCACTCTCATCTTTTTCATGTCCTCAAAGAGTTCTATAGCTTTACTGCCATATCCATGTTGAGAGTAGCCTGTTATCATAGCATTCCAGGAAACCTCATTTTTTAGAGGCATTTCAAAGAACACCCTCCAAGCATTGTCAAGGCTTCCACATTTTGCATACAAGGTGATCAATGCATTGCTGACTTCTATCTCAGTGTCATACCCTGTGTTTATTATTCTGGCATGAATTTGTTTACCTTGTTTTATATTTGTTGTATTAGCAGATGCACTAATAACAGACCCATAGGTGTACACATTAGCTTCTTTGCCACCTTGAATCATTCTACAAAACACCTTCAGTGCTTCCTCATACTGTCCGCTCTGGGCAAGACCAGATATCAATCCATTCCATGAAATGTCATCTTTAGCATAAATTTTGTCAAATGCCGAGTACGTGTACTGCATATTACCACATTTAGAATAAAAAGTGACAAGTGCATTGCCAACTGAAAGATCAAGAGAGTATCCAGAGACAATTGATTGAGCATGAATTTGTCGACCTTGATTAAAAGCTTGAATTCCAGCACATGCACTGATTGCACTTGCCAATCCTATATTATCTGATCGAATTCTGTGGTCTTGCATCTCTTGAAACATTTTAAGAGCTTCCATAAACAAGTCATGTTGAGCATATCCAGATAACATGGCTGTCCAAGAGACAACATCTTCCTCATCAAGACGTCTGAAAATTTTCATGGCACTGTCCAATTTTCCATGTTTGGCATACATGTCTATAAGCACACTACCAACATACACATTTGAATGAAAACCAGTTTTTATGACTTGATTATGTAATTGTTCTCCTAGATACAGTGCTCCAACGGAAGTACAGGTCCTTAGGATACTCGGATATGTATACTGATTAGGCTCTAGCCCCCTAATCAGCATCTGGGAGAAAACATGGAAAGACTCATGGAGATCACCCATCTGCCCATAGGCCACTAGCATCACATTCCATAAGACCACATTATCCATCTGTGTTGAAAGGAAAAATTCACGTGATGTCTTAACATCAGAACATTTTACATAAAGATCAAGTAGAGAGCCCTCAATAATTATATCAGAACACATTCCTGCCTTGATTGCATAGGAGTGCAGCTGTGTTCCCTTATGAAGAGCCCCGAATGATGTACAAGCACTCAAGAGGCTTGCAACTGTGACACTATCAGGCTTCAAGCACTCACTCTGCATTTTCTCAAACAAATGAAGAGATTTATGACTTGATCCTTGCATTGCAAGTCCAGAAATTAATGTGTTGTAAGAGACTTTATCCTTGCACTGCATTTCACTGAAAATCAGCTCAGCCGATGTCAAATTCCCATATCGAGAATAAAGTGTGAGAAGAGCATTGCACACAAAAAGTTCGGACGAAAATCCCCACTTGATTATTAGACAATGTAGTTGTTCTCCAAGTCCAAACAACTCTATTTTGGTGCAGGCACTTATAATGCTTGAAAAGACGTATGGAGTAGGGAATACTCCTGATTTACGCATCTCACTATAAAGAAGAATACCTTCTAATTCGCGAGAATTACGAGAGAAGCCCGATATAATGGCAACCCAAGAAACACTATCCCTCGTGTGCATTTTTTCAAAAATTTGCATGGCATAATCTACAAATCCATTCTTTGAATACAAATCAATCAGAGGATTACAGATAAGTGGGCTTTTGCTCAAGCCAAGATGGATAAATTTAGCATGAATTTGCCGCACAAAGTGAAAACCATCTCTACCACCGGAGCACACCTGAAAGACAGTAGCAACAGCGCTCTCATCTGGGGTAACACCTTTGCTAAACATCCATGAAAATAGACTAAATACTTGATTATACATTTTTTTCCTAATAAATAAAAATATCAATTGATTCCAGGAAGATAAATTGCTGCTGGCTGCAAAATCATCCAAAATTTGTAATCCCGGATCTATTTTTCCAGCATCTGTATAAACTTCGACCAATTCATTAAAAATTCTGTTATCCTCCTGTAATCCAAGTTTCAAAATTTTTGCCTTAAACTTCTTGGCATCTTGTAATGATACCAATTGGAGACATTCATCGATAATCTTTAAGTGGTCAGTCCCAGAACTTAGGGAAATTTCTCGCAGACTGTTGGACTGGAAAATACAAGTTTTCTTAGTTCCAGAACTTATTGCTAATATCTTTTGTAAATTCTCTGCAGCTGGAATTGCATCAAAAACTCTAGAGGCAGCAATGCTGCTAAAAGCAGCAAACTTCAAAATGGGAGCTTCAAAGCCTTGACCCCACTACAAAATTTTCGTCAAAATTATATAAGTAGAAAAGTTGAAACAACAAAAAAAACGCATAACTAACTCATCTGAATTCAAAGTAATCGTAAAGGACACCATATGAGTTGCAAATAAAAATACTAGTTGATTATAAAATAATGATAATAATAAAATGAAAAAGTACCTTGTATATGAATTTTGGCAAAGTTTTAAGCGAAAATCGATGTAACAAGAAGTTCGATGAGGATCCATATAGTCTCAATATGGTTTGTGCTGTGCAGACGCACATGAGAGGGAGCGGCGAGGTGAAGGGAGGGGGATGAACGGAGGAAAGTTAAATAATTCAATGGCCACTGAACTTTACACCATATCAGGACTTACTCACCAAACTTCATGAATAGTCCCATTGGCTACTGACGTTGCTCCATCCCCCTCAATCACTCACCGAATGGAATCCGTTAATATATGTGCTTTAGTGGATGCCGGAGAAATGATGTGACCAGTTAAATCACTTCAAATGGTAAATTAAGTACCAACTCACCGCCACATCAGCAATTAAGCCCCTCAACGGTGAAATCTCTCTTTCTATTCTCCTCTTTTCTCTCTCAGCTTTGAAATCAGTACGCTATTCTCTCATGGCTGAGACTTCTGATTCTGCCCATACCCTCAAAATGATTACTTCTCCAGGTTAATCCCAAGAATTTCTCCCTTCCCTGAACGGCATTGTTTTACTGCTAAAGAAGTTGAAGTGCTTCTTTTCTGGTCATGAACAAGATTCAAAGGTGGACACAGAAACCCTGTAAACAGCAATCATTCAAGATTCGCCTTCTAATGATGTTGCAAATGATGCCGCTTTGGACAGTACTGATAGGGTTCTGAAATTCAAGATCCACCTTCTTGTGTGGTGAAGTTAGCTGATGACGTGATTGATTCAAGAAATGAGAAGAATCGCAAGGAGAAGTTTGCAGATGATTCAAGAACTGTGCATAATATATCATTAACTATTAAAATTGTGCCCTGCCAAAATTTATAGTATAAAATCTACATCTAATGTCAAAGTAAATTATCATTCATTGTAGAATATCATACAATCACCAGCCCAAATTTTTTTTTGGGGGTGGGGGGG